ATATTTAACCTAAATAAATGAGAATTTATATCCACAAAAAGACTTGTACATGAATGTTCACAGCAGATTTTCATAACAGCCCTAATCTGGTATCAATGCAAAGGCCCCTAAATGTGTGAATGGACAGGTAAATGGTGGCATTGCCACACAGTGGGCTACTTCCCACCAATAAAAATTTTACCCACCAATGAATTACTGAAGGATGCTACAACTTGGATAAATAACAAAAATCATTAAGCTGAATGAGAAAAGGTAAGCAGAAAGAGTACATACCATGATTTCACTTTTCTAAAATCTATGAAATGCAAATTACTTCCCCTAGAAGATATTTGTGGGGAAATTGTCCCGAAATTTATACAGAACCATCCCTCTAATTCTCAGCCATGCACATGAGTGCAGAAAAGGCACTGTTGAAATGTAACACCATTCATTATTTTTAAAGCAATAAAAAGGTGGAGTGCAGACTAGGAGAAGCAATGAACTTGCCTCAAGGACATATACAATTTTTACAACTCAACAGTAAGTCAGAGTAGCCAATTTTTTTAAGTGCACAAAAGATTTCAACTGCCCTCGCTAAAGAGGATCCACAAATGGCCAATAAACACATGAAAATATTCTCCACATCATTAGTCATCGGGAAAATGCAAATTAAAAGCACAATGAGTTTACACCATACACCCACCAGAATGGCTAAAATTTTTTAAAGTGCCAATACCATTAAAAAAACTTCCAATGGCTGAAATTAAAAAAACTGCCAAGGAAGTAGAGCCACTGGGGGTGTCAATTTGTGCTTTGGAAAGCAGTTTTGTAGTTTCTGAAAAAATTAAACATACATTTAACACATGGCCCAGAAATTCTGCTTCTGAATTTCTACTCAAGAAAAATGAAAACATATGCACTCAAGAGATTTGTACATGAACATTCATAGCAGCTTTCTTTAGAGAAACTGTGTTACATTAAAATACTTCCTAGTGATAGAAAGGAATAATATTGTGATATGTGCCACAACATGAATGAGCCTTGAAAGCGCTACTATCAGTGTCTCAGTAATATTTTCATGGCGCGTAGCCCAAAAGAAACACCTAACATTTCCATTTAGTAAACAGTAAGGTACAAACAGCTTCATAATAGTGGTTCTCAAGATGTCCAACAGAAGCCTCTGTGTTTCCTTCAAAAATTATTATAAATAATTTTCATAGTGTCTATGAGTTTGCTGTAGTGTCCCCACATACCCTCAGCACAGATTGTGAACCATGAAGAGCAATGGCTGCCTGAGGCTGGGGGACAGGAGTATGAGGGAGATTTCTGGAATGATGGGAGTACCCTAAATTTTTTTTGTAGTGGTGGTAACACACACATACATTTGTCAAAGCTCATCAAAGTGTGTTCCTAAAATGGATGCATTTTATTGCATGTAAACCACATCTCAATAAAGTAAACTTAAAAATAAAGGCTGACCCCTATGTTTATGACAGCACTATTTACAACAGCCAAGAAATGGAAGCAACCTAAGTGTCTATTAGTAGATGAATGGATAAAGAAGAGATGGTACATATACACAATGGAATATTATTCAGCCACAAGAAGAAAACAAATCCTACCATTTGCAACAATGTGGATGAAACTAGAGGGTATTATGCTCAGTGAAATAACCCAGGTGGTAAAAGACAAGTATCAAATGATTTCACTCATCTGTGGAGTATAAGAACAAAGCAAAAACTGAAGGAACAAAACAGCAGCAGACTCACAGAACCCAAGAATGGACTAACAGTTACCAAAGGGAAAGGGACTGGGGAGGATGGGTGGGAAGGGAGGGATAAGGGGGGAAAGGGGGCATTATGATTAGCACATATAATGTGGGGGGCACAGGGAGAGCTGTACAACAACACAGAGAAGACAAGTAGTGATTCTATAGCATCTTACTACGCTGATGGACAGTGACTGTAATGGCGTTATGTGGGGGTACTTGATAATGGGGGGAGTCTAGTAACCATAATGTTCAAGTAATTGTACATTAATGATACCAAAATAAAAAATAAAATAAAATAAAAAAATAATATCTATTCTGGGCATGAAAATACATCTGTGCACACACATACACACCCATGCATATACTCACTTCTCTTCCTGTCTGTTCATAGAATCATAGGACTACATTTAATATTTTGTTATTGGCCCCACTAATTGGCTCTTAGACTCAATCTTCACCTCCCTTTTCTCCCCATCACCACCACGGCCCACAACCCTACTCCTGTCAATTAGAGATACTTTCATCATTTCTTCCCAGCATTCATGTATTAGTGAATCCAGATTGAATGGCATGGAGGAAGCCACAGAACCTACTGGGCATTATTAGGTATTAACCACTATTACAAATTAAGAATGTGGTGTCAAGGTGCATGATACCTTTTGTACAGTAGAGACTTGTTAAATATCCATTGACTTGAATTTACTGAATTTGTTGAGACCTTTTTCTGGGAAATGTTTTCATTATTATTAAATAGTAATTTGAAAACACCTCCTATGTGGCTACCATTTATTGAATATCTGATTTTATGATAGACATTGTGATTAATGTTCTTCACTTTTCATGAAATCCCCCAAATCTGTGGGATAATGATATTATTAGCCTCATTGTACAGATTGGGAAAATGAAGTTCAAAGACATTAAGTAAATTGATATGTGCAGAGATCTGGGATTACTAAATGGAGAAACTGGGATTTATGTTCCAGTTTGTCTACCCAAGCAGCTCATGGTTTTTACTATGCCTGTCTGACTAGCTCCATGCCTCTGATCTGATTATTGTAAGAGAGTAGAACTTCTAATAGAAATATGAAGCTCATCATGTGCAAGATAAGACTAGAAGGTGTGATGTCCCTCTGTTCCCTCCTGGTGTGTGATGGAAGATAGAGTCCTGTTTAAATGTCCCTTTGATTTCACTATTACATAGCATGGTCCTTCTCTGAAAGCTTTTCAGGGAATGAAAATCTAGAATCACATATTCTTCTGATGGACAAATCCCAGACATTCTAATCTATTCTCTTTAACCATTATGGGACTTTCAGTTGAATGATAACTACATTAGGAACATATAAATAACAATGACACCATGCACTTTTAGATTGTATTACCATTTACAAAGTATCCAACACCTGGTGGTCTTCCCAGACCATAAGATCATCATCGAGTGGTCACTGTTGTCAGCTCTACATCATTTATGCCATTCCAAATGATTTATCTGAATTCATCAGAGTATCCCATTCCTCAGGCCAGTGAGCAATTCAAGAACGAGCGTGTGGCCCAACCTAGCCAATGAGATGTGAAGAAACATCTTAAGGGTAATTCAAAAAAGCCAAGGAAGAAAGAATCTTTTTTGCTCCACTGTTTGTGTCCACATCTGGATGGACCACCTGCCACAGCGTTCTCATTCCCATGCCAGCCTGAGAGTGACAGTGACAAAGGATGGCAGAGCTGCGAGACAGAGAGAACCTGGCCTTGATGATTCTGAGTCAGCTGCCCCTCAAGCCCTCATGCCTCCAGCTTTCATCATATGTGAGGTGGCAGGTGCCCTTATTGCTTAAACCATCTTGATTCCTGTTTCTGTCACTTGCAGCAGAAAGGATCCTTAACCTAAGAGGTTAAGCAATTTGCTCTGTATCACGTTAGTACTGTAACTAAAATTGGAACCAGAATCCCAGTCTCCTATCAGCCAGGTCATCTTTCACTCACCAGCCAGTGTTAATTGGATGAAATTATTGTACCCATTTTGGCTTGATGAATATCAGCCAAATACTCAAAATGCCATTTCTTTTTGTTGTGCAAAGATGAAAACCTGAGCCAATTTAAAGCAAAAATCCAGGAAAATAAATGTCTGTTGAATATGATAGCGCATAATAAAGATGCTTGCTTTGGTATTATTTTATAATAGAAATTAACTTATAGCTGAAAATAATCTAACACATGAAATAGCACTATCTCCTTTAGATACACAGTCAAGACATACCGTAGTATTGTATTGGGTTTTTAAAAAACATTTGTAAGTAAAATCTTATGGGAAAGATTCTTTCTCATGGTAATTCTTAAACCCTATGTAAATAAAATATGAAAGTCATTACTTTCTACAGTACCAATATGTAAATTGGGTTTTTTTTCCTTTCTTCAAGGTTTGTGCTTACCCTTTAACAAATGTTTGCAACAAATTTTTATCTGGCTAAAACTGTTTTTTCATCTTTGGAATATTTCCGACAATCAAGAGTTTAATCTTTCCTTGGGATCTAGACCTGGAAGGGGCTCAGACGTCTGCTGATTTATTTTCCCTCCTTGTCACAGGCAGGTCTTTGCCTGGGATGAAGTGAACTCATGCTGCTTTTTAAAGTCCCCGGAAGGCATCTAGCACCACCAGTCTCTGAAATGCCTTCTCAGCACCAGGCAACCCTTCCTGGGCCTGACAAATCTTACATTGTGCAGTTTAAGCTCATTTCCTCTTTTCTGCACTTCTTCAGTTGATAAGGGCCTCTTTCATCCTGGATTAAATCGCAAGTCCTTTGCCCAGGTGCCTGTTGATGCCCCTTCTGATATCTGAGCCCTACATGGGGCTCCAGAGAATACTGAAGGGGAGACCAGATAGGGCAACTCAGCATAGAGTGCCCTGTAGCTGTGATGCCTCAGTTCAGGTGTCTGCCATCTCTTGTGCTGCCCGCTGGCTGCCCAGGGATCCCTGAGGACTCCCACCTCTGATGGGAGTGTTTCATAACCAGAGAGACCACATGTCCTGGGCTGCTGTTCACTGATGCATGTCTGCTGTCTGCCACTATTTTTAGGAGCACCCATTCCTTTTACCCTCAATGGTGTCTTAGATTGCTTAATAAAGTATATGATCCTCTTATTTATAGGGTATGAAGAATCAGGGTGATGGTCCTGAACTCCCAGCCCCACACACTAATGCAGCAAACAGGAAACAGAGAGACTCAGCAGAGAGTACACTGGGCTCATGCTCTCCAATACGCTGTCCACATGTGGCTATTGAGTACTTGATACGTGGCCAGTTCTGAAGTGTGCCAAATGTGTAACATGCCTTCAAGATTTCAAAGCTTAGTATGAAAATAATGTAAAATATCTTGTTAATAATTATTATATTGAAATTGTGTTTCATGTGTGTCAGGTTAAATAAATGATATTTATTAGAATTAATTAGGTAATTAAGACATGACTAGAATTAAAATATATTTAGATTCTTTTATTTGCTAATGTGGCTACTAGGAAACTTAAAATTACACATGTGGCTTGCACTGTGTTTCTCTTACACAGGGCTGCTCCAGATCCAGTAGATTGGTCCTACATTTTTTTTTTTTTTAGTAACTCAAATCTTTATATCAACTTGTCTGTCTGTGGTATATATATATTTATTATTCATTTTATTATCATTAATCTATAATTACATGAAGAACTTTATGGTTACTAGGGTCCCCCCTTCACCAAATCCCCACCCCCACAAACCCCATTATACTCACTGTCCATCAGCATAGTAAGATGCTGTAGAATCACTACTTGTCTTCTCTGGGTTGCACAGCCCTCCCTATGCCCCCCACACACTATACATGCTAATCATAAGGCCCCCTTTCTTTTTCCCTGCCCTTATCCATCCCATCCCACCCATCCTCCCCAGTCCCTTACCCTTTGGTAACCGTTAGCCCATTCTTGGGTTCTGTGAGTCTGCTGCTGTTTTGTTCCTTCAGTTTTTCTTTGTTCTTATACTCCACATATGAGTGAAATCATTTGGTACTTGTCTTTCTCCACCTAGTTTATTTCACTGAGCATAACACCCTCTAGCTCCATCCATGTTGTTGCAAATGGTAGGATTTGTTTCTTCTTATGGCTGAATAATATTCCACTGTGTATATGTACCACATCATCTTTATCCATTCATCTACTGATGGACATTTAGGTTGCTTCCATTTCTTGGCTATTGAAAATAGTGCTGAGAAAAACATAGGGGTGCACCTGTCTTTTTCAAACTGGAGTGCTGCATTCTTAG